CAACTGCTTTGACAAGCCAACACTTGCTATTCATGCTACCTAACTCGAGTGTTTTAATGCCTGTGACAGTGTCATGTTTTTCTTAGTTACACCTGCATGTTCCAAATATGATTCGCCGGGCCCTGTCCGAAGTGACACTGCTGTCGCCATTGCAGCGGGACGTTGTTTGTCGCCGGAAGTACTAAATAACGTTAGGTCTCGCGTAGTCCCGTGACCTACTTACACCCCCTATTACAACCAATTGATTGTCAGCAACTGGAACCTGACAGATGATCTGTGAATTCGGATGAGGTAAGTTAATTCTCCGCTTGTTAGATAGTCAAATGATTTAAATGTATTGTATTATTCAGAAGTGGAGGGGTTTAGAATGCAGTTTGCCGGTCTCTTTCACTGAGCGTCAGTGTTGATATTAATATTTGATACACAGAACATGATGTTTTTTTAGGTGAAGGAGGCCCAAGACTTTTTTCCATATTATTATTTTATGGATACCAAGGGTAATTACCAAGTGCAAGCAGTATATGTTTGACCAGAATTCATTCTGGCGGCGTTTTGTGGCCATCATATTATGTTCGGGTTTCGATCGTAAGCGTATAGGTCTGTACAAAGGCCTAACGTATGCATCGCCTCCTGACCACTGACAGTTATTGCCATTTCTTCCGTGTTATTTCTGAAATCATTACTGGTTAAAGTTTACATGTACTAATCTTCTGATTTTGATTTTTGTGAAACGATGTGGCTCATTCAGGCCAGTGGGAAGGTTGAGTAGATTTCTCTTATACAGCGAAGAGAGGGAATCAAAACAATAGAAGTATTTTCAGATCGACTCTCTGTAGGCAGCTAGTTATAGCCCTAGTCTAAAGCGCTCAATGTTGTTATAAAAAAATGTATTTTCAGGAAGAGACAGAAATATACTTGTTGTTTCCGAAAAGGCCTAATGTGCACTGGCTGAAGTAGCCTAAATGTGGATCATCTGGTTGTTGGTGTTGTCTATAAAGATTTATTGTAGCAAGGCGCTTATCATGTGTAGTTTTAATATTTCCAAACATGAATCAATTCATCATTTTCCGATAACTAGATCCATGTCCGACTCCCTTCTAATGGAAACGAGCAAAAGTAAAACGAGTCTCTCGTCGGGCGCTGTAACGGGGTGTTTGCGGTATTGTCCTCGCTGGTGATGATAAGCTAGTCGATAGTCAAAAGTCAAATATCACAATATATTGTCAGTGAGTTGGTCATCGTTTGTTGATTATTAAGGTGAGATAAGTGTAGCCAATGTGCACCAATGAAAAATACAATGAAATTGATAGCAACCATTTTCGATCTCCATATGTTGCCATGTAGGCTACTTACTACAAAATTATATTTAACGATATTGAACTGTATTATGTTTAATAAACGTAGTAACAAATAAATTTCATATGATACTTGGTTCTCTGAAACTTTTTGACAATGAGAGAATAAAATGGTGATCGAAAACTGAACGAGTAAGTTCCAGTGCTCCCTACGAAATCGTACTGTAGCTAGATCTAAATAAACAGCGCTGCGATGAAGATGTGAGTCGTAATTAGCTGCAATGCCTGTTTAATATATCTGTTTCCGTTTGGATTCCGGTTTAGGAAAGGTCCCCAACAAATGATGTTTGTACTAACATGATTGTGTGTCATTGTACTCTGACAGAGGTTGTGAGACGTGGCTCACTTTAACAATCACTGGTTTGCCTGACCGGTTTGTCAGACAGGTGTATATCGAAACTATATTACATTAGGTGTTTGGTTTTTTTATGATGGTAGATCTACTCATAATTGTGTTACTTATATCTGTAGCCTGAGATATTTCCGATCGGACGTTATACATGTAAACTTTAGATGTACAGTTTTTCCTAAATTTCTGACAATTATACAATATATGTTATTTTTTTGATAGACTATAGATCTAAATGTATGCTGATTGGATAAATTTCCTGTTTTGACTTTTTGTATTTGTTTTCGTTGCAGCGAGGGGGAAAATGTTACACGACCATTCCAGGAGATAAAATCAAGAATGTTGAATAATTGAGGAATACACCAAATAAACCCTGGGCTGTGAATTGTGTTAACGTAGGTACAATTGTTTACAGTTACATTCCATTGTCTATATCCATGTTAATTGGTGGTTTTGTGGGGTTTTTTGTTCTTTAAATGAATGCTAAGAATGTAGATCTATTTATATAAATCTATGCTCGTACCACGTTTTGTATTCAACCTGATTCTTGATGTCTGTTATGTTATGAATGAATGTTAAAATTTGTTTCCATCAGACACTTGCATTATACATTATTGTTTGAATATTGATAAAGCCTTATCTCCAAATGAATGTTTCTCGTCATATATCTTTCAAATACCTGCTCGAGATTTATTAAGCTGTTTGTATTTCAAGGAAGTGGAAGTGAACACCAAAGAAAGAAGATTCTGGCATTCAATTATTTCAAAAAGTGTATACATTTTCAATAATCTAAAAATATTAAAATGTCAACACAAATGTGTCCTGGAGTTCTTTGTTGAATGGCGAAGTCGCATGACTGTAAGTTGAAGTATACTATATGGACTTGATAAGAGACCGACCATTTAATATTCAAGGGGGTGGGGACCTGGAATCTTTCTATGGGGATTACATATGTTTTCGGTCACAGCTACAAAAGCAAAAATTTGTTTTTATTTAACCCTATGAGCCTGAAGATAAGCACCTTGCAACTAGATCTATGTTTTGAGGCAGGCATTTTTTTCACCAGTCTGTACTGGAATTATTTTTGTCAAGAATTTTCGGTGACAATATATTTTTTCGATAAAATTCCAGGCCCCGACCCTCCCCAGAATATCAAATGGTCAACCCCTTACCATGTCTGCCATTCTTATTTTGTTTCTTGCAGTACAAGCCTAAAGGGTAATGGTGTCTGACTTTAATTAGTCATTTGTATCCAGTTAACAGCTCAGTGGTGATTTTATATTTTGAACATTGTCAGCAAAACATGGGCAAACTGGGCAATTCGAGGCCCTGGTTTAAAAACATCGGTAAAGGGTATCTCGAATCATACACATTCACGTGCCTAAAGCATATTCTAAAACATTTCCGGAACATGTTTTGGGTTGTTTTTACAACATTTAAGTGGAAAAAGGTCACAACGTATTTCATCCTTGTAGCACAAAGTTATTTCACGTCGTTGTGACAACGTCCATGGTAGTACACAGAATAACGTTGTAGGGATGCATTATTATAGCATTGCCACAACGTAAAATACAACATTACCACAACGACAAATACAACGTTCCCTAAAAGTAGAAATACAACGTTCCCACAACGTTAATTACAACGTCATCACAACGTTGTGACGACGTGAATATGACGTAACACAACGTTAGGCCATGACGTTGTGACAACAAAAATGGGAGTCCACAGAATAACGTTATATGGACGTAACATCCACAACGTTACCACAACGTAAACACAACGTTGTTACAACGTGAAATTGTTAGCTAGGATGTTGCTCTGGGCTGAAGATCAGTTATAATACTTATGTAAGCTGCTGTATGTGCAGTCGTACGGTGTGATGTTGCTGTGGTCTGAAGAGCCATTATAATACTGATGTAAGCTGCTGTATGTGCAGTCGTACGGTGTGATGTTGCTCTGGGCTTACGATCAGTTATAATACTGATGTAAGCTGCTGTATGTGCAGTCGTACGGTGAGACGTTGCTCTGGACTCAAGATCAGTTATGATACTAATGTAAGCTGCTGTATGTGAAGTCGTACGGTGTGATGTTGCCGTGGGCTGAAGAGCCATTATAATACTGATGTAAGCTGATGTATGTGCAGTTGTACGGTGTGATGTTGCTCTGGACTCAAGATCAGTTATAATACTGATGTAAGCTGCTGTATGTGCAGTCATCCATAAGGATCTTGAGCGTCGGTGCTGTTTTGTTTGCAAACACAACTGCAGGGGCATGGTGTTTATGCGTATGCATAGACATGTCAACAATGCCCATATTTGGGCATATATCAATATTCATGCGCAACCAGATTTTGCAACCGGTTTCAGTTTGGTCTGTCACGAACGGAAGTTGTTATGTATTTACACTTAAATATATTTTTAATGTGGGTAATAGATAAAATACCACACTCATTCTCGTTAGATACCATTTTTACGAAACGAGTAGACTTTCTATGGTATCTGACCGAGCGAAAGCGAGTTTCGTAAAAATGGTATCTAACGAGAATGAGTGTAGTATTCTCTATGTATTCTTCAAATTAGAATGAGAAAGCAAATTTGAGCTTTTATGTTTTTCATTTTTCAAGACAAAAGTTGTAAAGCTGGATACCCAGAGCAATTTTAACTTTTAGGACAGAGTTGGTAAACGGAAATAGAGAGTGACGTTGAAGTTACAACATGCAAGGCCTTCCAAAAGGTTTTATGGTAGACAAATGAAGGACATTTCCAAATCATCAGTGACATAACTGACGTCAGATGCAATTACATATTTTGATCCGCACCATGTCATTTGGTATATCTTTTCAGGGTAACAATTGACTTGACTTTGCATGTGTTTGCAATAAATGCCACCGGTGTGGCAGGATACGCTCACGTTTTCCCGAACACCCGGTATCCCCATTTGATAGTGATTCATAAACACATCCTCATGACTCAACATATCTTATCCATGTAATGTTTGACAATTAAGTTTTACTTTCAAACAACTCTGCTTTTAGCAGAGATTTCTTGTGTTTTGTCGCTTTTATTTTCAAGATGTCCATCTGTTAGTGATGAGAATGGAAGCATTACATGGACTGGACTGGATATACAGAGAAATGTTTTGGGTTTTTTTGGGGTTTTTTTGTTGTTTTTTAGGGGTTTTTTTGGGGGGGGGTAAATTTAATTTTTGCTGTATTGTGTATCAAGGCAGTTACTAGACTCCATAACACTGGACATATCTCTAAAACATTGAAAGAATAAAGAAAACAAGGAGACTTTTTGTATATTTTATTACATTTCAGAACACATAAGTACAAAATGGTGCGAAAACTATAAATAGTCGATTGATCCTCTGCGTCAAAGTTTATTTGCAACTGAAATAAGGAAAGCATAGAGTTAATATCAACATAATATTCTAAATTATACGACATGTTTCACCCAAAGATATATGAATGGTATGGTTTCTAACAGATGTATTACGTTGTTGATCACCATTTCAGGTCACGATTTGATATAACTTGGTACCTCCTTTTATCCATGCTTTGCAATATTTACAACACCTTACTGGTTATTTCTCAAAAGGTAAAATCGTTCTGGTTACTTACATGCCAGGTCCAAATCCACCTCGTCCGCAGAGACAGTGCCCATCGTAGCAGTGGTGTGAAGCACGGCTGTCTCTACATTTTCAGTTAAACCATTCGCATATCTCTCAAACTGGAGTCACTACCAATGATAATAAACGCACGTAGTTAACATGATACCTGCAAATGCCATCGCTGTTTTTCTATGACAGTACAAGAAGAAAAGATAACGCACATCATGGACGTGATGCATCGCTCAACACAGAAATCAGAATTCTCAATTTTATGTTATATTCATTCTACATGCTTTCTGAGGTAAGGTGGGGCGGTCGGGTAGCCTAGTGGTTAAAGCGTTCGCTCGTCACGCTGAAGACCCGGGTTCGATTCCCGACATGGGTACAATGTGTGAAGCCCATTTCTGGTGTCCCCCGCCGTGATATTGCTGGAATATTGCTAAAAGCGGCGTAAAACCATACTCACTCACTCACTCTGAGGTAAGGTGAGGTGAGGTGAAATGAGTTTTAAAGTCGCGTTCAACATTATTGCACTTATCTACCGACGTGCATGCACAGACACAGTATACTGAGCCAGAGAGGACCAGTCCTTGTTTTAGCCCCTAAATGCCGAGTGTCAGGCAGGGTAACAACAACGTGTTTTAACGTCTTTTGGTATGATGCGGCCGGGGATCGAACCCCCGACCTTTCGGTCTCCGGGCAAACGCTCTATACTAGACCAAGAAGGTGGTGCTTCCCTTTCTCCTAAATTTGATCACATACTTAATAGTTATTGAGAGCTGTGCATACGCTTCAAAACTGTTTCGCATTTGAACATACACTTGGCATTTCGGAGAAAATTGAGACGAGAATCATGTTTAGTTTCTTAAGCAGCTATGAGAAAAAATGCCACTTATCGTAAACACTGTCTAAACGTTATCATACCTTGAGCGCAGGAACCAGATGTGGCGGAAGCCAGGCAGGCATATTCTCCATGAGAGCAGCCCAGCTTTGAGGAACTATCACAGGTCACGTTATCACAGTCTTTCTCATCCTTGCAGGTCTCGCTGTAGATAACAGCTGAAAGGGAAAACAGTGGACATCGAAAACGTCTCGCAAATTTTCGTTGTTTGGAACCTTATGATTCAATTAAATGTCAAATTATGTTACATTTGAACTAGGCGATACTATGTATACTGTCTATGTAGGACTCGGCGTAGATCACGTCTAACCGCTATAAAGGCAAAATGTTATATATGTCAGATGCTGATACGTATTTTTCCTATTTTATTAATGGTGGAGAAGCACTCGGTTCGAGAATAACCACCAACACTCTTATTTCCCCTATATCAGTTTATAATGAAAGCGACAAAACCCAGTCCATACTCATAGGAAATCTCTCTCAAAAGCAGAGTCGATTGTACGATTACGACTACATCATGAGCATAGTTATGATACCAGGGCCCACTTGCACAAAGCGATCTTAGCGCTACGACAATTGTAAGCCTTTGTTAAAGTATGGGAGTTACGATCATCTTAACGCTAAGATCGCTTTGTGCAAGTGGGTCCAGATCTTTTCCAATATATTTTATGTATTCTCTATTCACCCCCTACAACAAACCACAATACTTACCAACCTAACATGCAAATTATTCTCTTATGAACAATGGGGTGAATACAAACGGAATTTCACTGCACATGCAATGTATGCAATTATGTCACCAAATCCTGCCCCTTTGTATCTTTGCTCTTTACATGTTGTTAATTTTAAAAGAAAATGCAATTTGAGCACTATCTCTATATTAACAATCGTCTGTATAAGGCTAATTAATGAGAGTTCACTTTCATCTATATTCACCAATGACGTCACAGAAAACGGCGAGAAAGAGGGAAACCTGCATGGCTGAGAGTTCAGGGTGTACTGTTTGTACTGTTTTGAAGCATGGTCTCACGTCTATCTTATATACTCTGTTTCTTACTCTTATCAGCACTGATCCAACTCTGTAATCACGATTCTGTTGTGATTGGAACACCTGAAGTCATGGAATTGGGTCACTTGGGTCAGTTTTGTCACGATGTTGACCAAGAGAAACGGTGAACTCTGAAAACATGTAGCTTTATCTTTGTAATTTACAAATAAATGTCCACCACGTGTCTACCATAAAACGCTTTTGAAAGCTTTGCAGAGGCCTTGAATGTAACCCTGATCAATCAAAAATAGCAAGTGTAATATGACGCTTTTGAAATCTTCATAGAAAGAGCACGCTGGATTGTATTTCAAAAGTTGTGAAATGTACACACAAAGGCCTGGAGTTGATGGAATATTGCTCGAAAGGGAAACTTAACTATTGGATCTCTATTTTCATACAGTCTGGTGGGTATTTTTTGTCACTTTTAATCTTTAAACATATATATGAAGCAAAATGAGGTTGTTCCACTGGTGCCCTTTATTTCTAGTTGAGGTGGGTGAATCAGTGGAATGGATTGGGCTGTTTGACCGTTATTGAATGGTATCAGATGTTCGATATAACTGAAGTGTTAGTTAAACTTCTTGGTTCAATTCCTACGTTTGATTTTGCTGATCCGAACAGGAATTCTGCAGAAAATTCATAGAGAAACAAATCAAAACAATGAGGGGATTACAACTGTGGGGATGCCTACATTATGCCCCAATGTCTTCCTCAAATTTCATATGACCCGTGAAGATCCGGGGTCGAATAGGTCTTCAGCATCCCATGCTTGACGTAAGAGGTGACTAACGGGATCGGGATCGCTGACTTGGTTGACGCATGTCATCGATCCCAATCCAATCGGTTCGATGCTCATGATGTCAATCACTGGATTGTATGGTCCAAACTCGATTATTTACAGACCCCCGCCATGTAGCTGGAATATTGCTGAATGCGGCGTAAAACAACAAACCAACCAACCAACTTTCATATCGATCTTATCTATCATGAAATCCTTCATTAACATGTACATATTGCTTTCCCAGTTAACTTCAGATGGCATTTGCTTTCATTTTAACAAATGGCCCTGAACTATATCTATGGTCACTACGTTTAGATGATCAAGCAAAGAAGCGTGTAATCAATAAAATTCTCTATATCTTGTGTTCTCATTTGTCATCTAACTACACAGATGTATCTAAATTTTAAAGTGGCTATAAATCATTTACATAAATGTTAGAATTATGTTTTAAATATCTAATGAATTCATTATGTTATGATAATCTGTTTAAGTGATCATTTCATATAATTAATCCTATTTGAATATTATGTCATGTGTTGAGATTTGTGATACATTTGGTCTAGAAATGTCACAATTGATGACACACATTATTCACCAATCAATATCCAAACGTCATATATATAACTGCACAGTTGTAGGGTGTGCCGTTATACAACAAGCAAACATAATAGCGACAATTGGACATCGTGAAATTATACACTGGTATGGAGTAGAATATGTCCCGATCAAACTATGCAGGTTGTGTGAGTCGACTAAATGAATCGGTGGTCAGACTCGGTGACTTGGTTGATCAATTAAAGTTGTGTGTCAAGTATTCTTAAAGTATGGGGAGTTGTTTATGAACTAACTTTAAACCCAGAAGCGAAAATGTATTGCTGGAATAGTGTTGAGTGTGGAATGAAACAAAGATGCTATCACTGGATACAAAAATATATACATATTCACAATTTGGCCTATGTCCTACATTTTATGAATACAGAAATACAGGTGCCTTTACAATGGCTGACTGTTTAAATATTTTCCTCTGACATAGACATGTAAACCTAGAAACCGTTGATGAGTATTTCCAATTTCAAGCAGAAAGGATGCAATATTACAAACTCATAAAGGTCTTTTTGTTAATACGACATTCAAACCCTTTTCTAATATTCCTGCTCTGTGTGAACGTTGAGTTATGCACTCAAGTAGTGGTTCCTGGATGTCAATCAACGTGTGCACGGCTCTGTGCCGACATAACGGCTTCAAAAGCGTTAACATTGTGTAAAACGTGTTAAATCATTTCCTTTACCCAGTGTAACCAAACGGCACACCTATGGTCAAGAGACGAGGCAATCCATACCATATACTAAAAAATGTCCCCTCGTACTTATTCATTTCAGCAGACGCTATCTTGTTTAGCAGATGTAAACGATCACATGACAAGTAAGCGATTTCTGATTGGTTGTCATATGTCAACGTTTGTTCATACATCAAATATCAGTTGATAAAGACTGTGTCTATACCTTGTGCCACCAAACACGTATTTGCAAACGCTGGGTGTCCCTGTGAATCCTCCTCTACCTGGGGGCACGAGTGGCCCTGTCGTCTAAAGCGCCGCGATTCGCTGTGCAGAGTTGCGTCCCTTGGACACGCCACAAACCTATGATTATGGGATCGAATCAGGGTTCGCCCCAATTATGTTTCTAGGTTTGTCAGGACCATACCCGTGCTCGTGGGTTTCACCGAAGTGGTAAACATCTGAGACCTGCATCACTTCGGGCTTTCCTCCCACATTGAGCTGACACGCCGTGATATAACTTGAATAATGTTAAAAGCGGCGTTAAACCCAACTCACTCACTCACTCACTCACTCCTCCTCAGCCTCGTAAACCTCGCTTTGCTTCAATCGTCTCTCAAAGTCTTGGTGTGCGTTCTTTTGATCGTCAGTTCATAAAACGTCAACGCCAGACAAAAGCAAGTCTCGATTATCCGATTATCCGACGAAATTGATTCTAGATCTATTGGGTTAAAATTCAAAATAGAGGAACCTTCCATTCCATAAGTAATCAGTTCGTGTATGAGTGCCTCATTAAAAGTGTACAACGGTTGTGCTACATTTGGCCCATATGTTTCTTAAAGAGTACTTGTCACTTTAAAGTATTAGCAATTGCACTGACTTGAAGTGAAAACGTTAGTTTCCTTAAAATGTCATATATTGTTATAAATTTCTTATAAACTTAGCCCTTTAAGATCTTTTAATATTGGCCCAGCTATTATGTCATTTTTGTGTGGAATGTTACTAAGGCCAGTTGGTCCTTGCATGAAATATACTGAACAACAAAAGTTCCTGTGACATTGAATAAGATTTAATGCAAAGTTATGTTTTTTACCAAATCTGAAACAATTTCGGTTTGCAACAGATAAAAGACTCCTGAAAGTGTTCAAATGGTTTAATTTGCCATTCTGGCTTCAGTGAGTGAGTGAGTTGAGTTTAACGCCGCTTTTAACAGTGTTCCAGTTATGTCAGCTTAATATAGGGGGCTCAGAATAGTGCGTGATTTCATAAAAAAAAACATGAACATGCCAAAATGTCAATTTACAAATCAATAGTGTGTGTGTCCACCTCTGGTTGCGATGCTGACAACACATCTTCGTCTCATGGAATAGACCAGGCGTCGCACCAAGTCCTGTGGAATATCTGTCAATATCTGCTGGAGCATGTTTCAAAGTTCCTGAATTGTCTGTGGAACACGTGGTTGACGTCGAAGGCGCCGATCCATCTCATCCCACATGTGCTCGATTTGTGAGAGATCAGGGGAGCGAGCCGGCCAGGGGATAACATACACGTTGTTTTGCTGAAGAGAATCCTGAACAAGTCGAGCAATATGAGGCCGGGCGTTGTCATGTTGAAAGGTAATGCCTGGGCCATGACGACGCAAAAACGGTAGAACAACAGGGCCTATGATCTCGTCGCGGTAGCGCTGTCCATTGAGATTTCCCTCTACCACTATCAAACGGGTCCTCTGTCTTGCTGTAATCCCACCCCATACCAAAACGCTGCCGCCCCGAACCGATCTTCTTCCATGACACAATGATTGACGTAACGCTCACCTCGACGTCGGTACACTCGAATCCGTCCATTGCTGTGGCTGAGGTGAAAACGAGACTCGTCGGTGAATAGAACTTCTACCCACTGCATGGCCGTCCAGCGTAGGCGCTGTCTGCACCACTGTAGACGTGCTTGACGGTGGTTTCCTGTCAAAATGGGACGTCTGGCGGGTCTTCTGGAGACAATCCCTGCACATCTGAGGCGACGACGTACGGTTTGTGAAGATATTCGTCGAAGGCCAGGGATGTTTCGTGCAGTCACTGTTGCTAGCTGGAATCGATTTCGTAGGTGTGTTGTTCGAATTCAGTTGTCTTGTCGATTATTGGTTACGCGTGGCCTGCCACTCCGAGGATGGTCTCCGACTGCATTCGTCTGTTGCCAACGTTGCCATAACAACTCGATCCTGCTTCAAGTATACCAATGGCTCGCAGACGCTCATTTTCGGACAGGCGTGGCATTTCGTAATGTTGAATAATGTTGTCAGCACGATGCATATGGAATCCCGTTAACGCACGTTTTTATACCCATTCTTGGGCAGTGAAATGCATGGGGCTTGCATAAAAGTCTTTTGCATGGAATGCATGTTTTTCTGTAGCAGTTGCGTTTTTGTGACTTGATTCCATACATGTACTACAATATTGAAAAACAAACTTTACTTGTTTGAAAAATACACTAAAATATTGGTGTCACAGGAACTTTTGTTGTTGAGTATATTATGTGCTGAAAGCTAAAACCTGACAATTTCAGAAATTTACCAGATTCAATCTATTTGTTTTGGTGTCAACTAAATAATGTTGCTAACAAAATAATTCCTAAGTCCTCGAAAAATATTCGTAAAACCATGGTTTAATAACGAATGCAAACAAGCAAGAAAGTGTAGGGAGAAAGCGGGAAATATTTCCGCAAACTTCCTACAGTTCATAACTTTAATAATGTTCCAGTTACTATTGCCAAAGCACGACGTGATTATGAACAAAATGAGCGCCAATCTTGGAGAAACTATGTCTCCAAAATTATTTCACGCACACCTATATCCAAGGTTAAAAAAATAAAAGGCAAAGGTTAAACATCATCCGTATCCCATCTTTAAGACTTTGAGAAATTGATAACTGATAAATCTTACATTATAAATAAACTTGCGCGAAACTCCAGCCAAATATTCAACATCATCAAATTATGTCCCTGGGTTTAAGATATATCAGAAACAACGGGAAAGAAAAGAGCGAATTTATATTTTGATAACGGTGAAGATTATAATGAAGTATTTCCATTACATGAGCTTCATACAGCTCTTGCGCTAGCTCATGATACTGCAGCAGGTGATGATAATATCCACCATCAGTTACTGAAGCATTTGCCTGAATCATGTCTTGAGATAGTTTTGTATGTATATTTGACCACATATGGACGTCAGGGAATTTTCTTCCTCGTGGCAAAATGTCCTTGTAGTCCCCACACCAAGACCTGGCCGGGATCATACATACATATGCTTCAAATTAATTATCTTTAACCAGTTGCGTTTGCAAAACCATGGAACGAATGGTAAATAATAGATTATTTTGGTATTTGGAAACCAATAGTCTTATTATAAATATCCAATGTGGTTTCCGGAAAAAAGAAGTACTATTGATCATTTTTTTAATCATTAGAATCCTTTGTTAAAATGCTATAGTAAATAAACAACACGAAGTATCAATTTTCTTTTATCTTGAGAAAGATTACGATACTACCTGGAAGCATGGCAATTTACATGATTTTGGCTCGAGGAGTGGTTTACCTCATCTAATATCATAGTTTTTAACAAACAGGCAACTTCAAGTCCGAGTGGGTTCAACCCTGTCTGATCATTATAATCAGGATCAGGGTGTCCCTCAAGGCAGTATTTTGTGTGTCACATTACTTGGTATTAAAATACATTCTTTCAAAGGTTTTAAGGGATTCAGTTGATGGATCACGTTTCGTGGATGATTTTAATATTTCTTGTAGTGGTAGAAATATGCATACAATAGTGAGGCAGTTACAAATCTGTCTCAATAGTCACAATGATTCAAAAGTAGTCCCTTGAAAACGGGTTTAAATTTTCTAAATAAAAAACATTTGTCTACATTTCAGCAGAAAATAAAATCCGCAAAAAGAACCTAAACTATTTTGAATGGCACCCCTATCACAATCAAGCATGTCCTGCTTGACTATTGATTTTTCAATCACAAGGGATAAAAACAGCCAAGGACCATTTTATTAATGTCAACTCTCATTTAACATTGTGACATTTAAAAAGAAATAGAATTAATTCCTAAATTTTGATGTACACGGTTTGTTTTTTTCTAAATTGGTAGTGCTAATTAGTAACTAAGATTGTTAGTGGTTGTACCCTCAAAGGGGATTGAAGCAGCATAAAATTATTGTCCCCCAATGAGGGTGTGGAAGTTCCACGTTATTCAAAGTATTTTTATGCATGTCAAAATTTTAACAGTAGTATATTTGCCATTTTACATTGATGGTGTAAATCCTGCTGGCCATGGGGAATCGTGCAGGTAGCAGAAGTATTGTAAGTCCCCAAGGTCCCTGAAATGGTTGCCTCACTTTGGTTACTGGCGATCTATAGCCCATATTTGTATTGTGTTGTTGAATTTAAATTTCTTTTTTAAATGTTTTTAATTATTATACTGTCCATCGCTGAGAAGTTTTTATTCAATCTGAATGTATTCATTATAAATGTACAAGTTACCGTCACGATATTGCCGATTTGACGTTAAATTTTAACTCACTCACTCACACATTACACTCTTAATATACAAGGATGCTCAGAAATTAAACATTATGTCATTTAAGCCCTATATCGCGGCGTGTCAGCTTAATGTATGAGGAATGCCCAAAGTCCTAGGATTTGAACATGTGAAACCCACGAGCACAGGTATAGTTCTGGCAAACCAAGAATTTTGATCAGGTGGAATTTGATATTCGAACTTACGAGTATCGGTGCCTGGCACACTAAAAGGATGCAACTCTGCATTGCGAGTCGAGCCGACAGTGCAGCTCGGTTATATAATATATAATACGTCATGCATCCCAAAATGAACAAATGCATATACTGTCGTAAGGGTTACGATGAGGTTAGCAACAGAAACAGAAACAAACTCGGACTATCCCCTAAAGTGTAAATCAAATACTTTGTGGAATTGGGAAAGTGTCACCTGTTTTAGACAACGCGCTTAAGATAATTTATGGGTGCAGGCATTGTGCAGTATAAAAGGCGTGTCCCTGGTCACAATGTTCAGATTAAATCGTTTCCGTAAAACATGAAGTACATATTATTCCTCGCTGTATCGGCAGTTGCTGTCGGTGAGTATGACAGTCATCTGCATCAGCAACTCTGTCAAGGAACAGTATTTTGTTGTTTCACGACCTCAGCAATATTCCATCCTCAATGTATATGACGGCGGCCTGCAGAGAAGCCTGTCGTATTTTGAGCAATGTCCCACCCTTGGCGAAACTACCAAAGTAGCAGAAAAGCAATTGATTACACATAAAAGCACATTTTTATTAAAGATAAGTAAACCTCAATTTACCATCTAAACCGTAAACTATTAATTCAAACTCTACAGCGATAATTCCCTTTCCATATCCAATAGAAATCTCTGCAAAAAGCAGAGTCGATTTCACCATTCTAACTATATCATAAGTGCGTGTTTATGAATCATTATCAAATAGTGATGATACCAGGTGTTCGCGAAAAAAATTGTGTATCCTGCCCCACCGGTGGCACCCTTCACAAACACATGCAAAGGGAAGTCAGTTGTTCACCTGAATAAACACGGGTATTTATGGTAGAAGTCAAAATAGGGATTTGCATCGGACATCATCTTCGTCGCTGATGCGTCAAATTTGGAAATGTATTCACCTTGATCATACAACTTCTGAGCAGCAGTCGTATGACGCTCGTTGAAATCTTGGTTGAAAGATCATGCTCGACTGTATCTCAAAAGTTGGGAAATGTAAACACCAAAGGTTGGAGCTGCCGGAATATTGTTCCACATGAAGGGAAAGTTGACAATTGGAAAGTTGAAGTCATCCCTCTTGTCATACAGTCCTTGTGTCCTTGTGGTTTTGCTCCAATATCAACGCTGCTTCAATATTTACAGTTTGGGTTAGCTTAATATTGGAGCAAAACACACAAGGACACATGCCATAGATGTTCCCCACGATGTCTGGTTGGCTCCATCTTCCCGAGGTGTGAAACGCACAAGGAAGGGAATAGTGCTGAATCATAATCATGGCGAATGTGGGATTTGAACCCACGATCACACACATGGGGTTACGAAGCCTTCGATGTCTGGTTTGCTCCATCTTCCCGAGGCAAGGGAGTTAACTGAGTTAAGTCCAGTTTGCACCCTTGCCGAACTAGGCTGTCATTATGGAGTTACAGTTTGGCTCGACTAACAAGTCTTTGCGTAGTCCAATCGCGCAACGAAATCGAAATCCGGTTTGTGAACTGTCATGCAGATTTCCGTCGATTGCAGTATTTGCAAAGCATGTGCACCGCCAACTCGTTGTCAAAAGATATTGTCCTAATCTTTTCATGTTTTTAATATAGGTGCTCACGTGATTTGATGCACTTCGCGATGTAAACCCGTTTTATCATAACATAGATCTTGATTATCAATCAGATCGTCTTGACTGGGCGCCGTCATTTTGAAGCAAATGCAAGTGATACGAGAGGTTGAATCTGATTGGTCCATAGGAGAGGCATAGAAGGGACATAACTCGTGATAGCCACTGGTGGCGCTACGATCGAGCCCAGGAATTCCAGCCTAGGTCGGCAAGGAGGGGAACTGGACGTTTAAAGTCAGTTTACCCTCTTGCCTCGGGAGGATGGGTTTGCTCGTACCCCACTTTCTCAATGATAGGGTGTTTTAGTTTGTTTTGTTATTTGGTTCACTGATTGCTCATGAAGAAATTTCACAAATGTTGAATGAAATGCGATATACGTTTTATAGTAGTTTATCTTCTCGCCGAATTTCAATGATAATTTACCCGATGCAGATCAATAGGATGAGGAAAGTATCCAGTACTTGCTAATCAGCACATATTAATATTTCTTGTTCGCCGGATTTGATGTCAACTGATCACTAACTAATGTTTTCTGTAATTATATAAAGTTGACTGCAAGACGGCTGCGGAATGCGCCTCGAACGCATGCCGCTGTCTAGCTAACTTCCACAGTCACCATTGTCTGGATGGAAAGTGCTCCTGCGGATTCTTGTATGTATATTTAAAATGACGAAACTGGTATCAGGTCTCAAATGTGTCGTAGGTGTGAAGAGTGTAAAGGTGTAACAAGACACATTATATTGACACATTATTTTTTGTTTATTTAGAGACAGAATATTATTTTCATCACTGGACAGTGAACTTTTCTTATTGTTTTTTGTAAAACCACTGGTCCTCTAGTGCCCATTGTTTATGTTAGTGTATGTAAATATGCCTGTTAAACTGAACACGTTTTTAATGTGTGCATGGTATTCCTTTCAGCGGTACTGGGATTGGGCGTTAGCCAGTCATTCGTGTCATCTTTGTTGCACTGCGCATTGATGGAATAAATGAGTTTTGTCAATGTTTGTGTTTGGACTGTTCGGTATTGTGCTTGGCATCAATGGAGAAACTCACCCTAGGTTCTTCCGAGATCAAATACATCAAGACGAGTTGATAAATGTGACAAATATCCGGGGCTTGCCGAGGATGGTAATACTTCTATCAGCGAGTCATAACATAGTTGAGTTTGGAAGATATCCAAACAGTAATAACCAGTGTTTAGAGTGCAAATAGAACAGCTACGGCTTCAGTGACAGAGAGATTAGTTTTGTCATTTGTATTTTGACGTCATGGCAACCGATTACGTCACAGTGGTCTGCAAAGTAATCTGATATAATTTCTTTATCTCGCCCAAGCGATATTTCTTATGAAAGCAAGTTTGAATGATAGAGTATGATAACACACGGGTTTTAGACAGACATTAGAGTAGGCATTTATAAGGTCAACACCCATATCTAAATGGGACTATCCCAAACTGGACGTAGTCGATATATCAGACAGCTTGAGAATTAATGTCTCTTCTCACTTATGCACAATGCATAATCCGTGCTCGGGTCTTTTCTTTTAATGTAATGTTAACACTCGGCCAATGACTAGAGTAACATAAGTGAGTGAGTGAGTATGGTCTTACGCCGCTTTTAGCAATATTCCAGCAATATTACGGCGGGGGACACCAGAAATGGGCTTCAAACATTGTACCCATGTCGGGAATCGAACCTACAGTAACATAAGGAGTAAGACATTGAATAATAAATGCTCATCGACAAGTTCTGTATAACATCAACACTTGTAGTGAGTGAGTGAGTGAGTTGGGTTTAACCCCGCTTTGAACAGTATTCCAGTTATATCAAGGCGTGTCGAAGTGGTGCAGGTCTCAGACGTTTACCACTTCGGTGAAACCCACGAGCATGGGTATGGTGCTGACAAACCTAGAAACATAATCGTGGCGAACCGGGATTCGATCCCACAATCATGGGTTTCTTGCGTGCACAAGGGACGCAACTCTGCACAGCAAATCGTGGCGCCTTAGACGACTGGGCCACCCGTGCCCCCTCAACATTTGTAGATGGCATTAACATATTGAATTTATGTATTGCTGGTAATATATAGTACTTTCCGTTAATATATTATTTTCTGATTTCACAATAATATTCACATTCAGGTACAAATTGATATTCATTTTCAAAACAATGTTTGCCAAAAAATATACAAATCCGATGCTCAGTTGGCTCTTTACAATAACGCCCCGTTTCAATTCTAGGTTTGTGTGAACCACATCTAAATCCAGATAAAGAAATTCAAAACTTGTTAATTTTTGTCCTGCTTAAATATACTTCACGTCCACAAGAAGGTTTAAATTGTGAATATGAGATTATTTTTGAACTTTCAAATACAAAAGAATGCCATTCTTGTTCACAATAGTATCTTAATCTAGACACTAACTCAGAAAGATACCCCTGGAAAATATCAACAGACTGGTGTTCCAACACATAGCCAAATCTGGTAGAGCAAAATAAATGTTTAACCTTTGATACCCAATTCACTTTCGCGGACTGTACCAGTTTTAGCAGCAAGTCGTCAGACAATTTTACATTTCTAGATTCTTCTAAGCATATTGTTTGTGTCCAAATTCACCATAGACGACGCCCCGCCGTGATATTGCTGGAATAATGCTATAAGCGGTGTAAAACCGTACTCACTCACCCTAGACGACATGATTTGGTGGTGTTGATTTGACATGAAGAAAACGTTTACGCGCTGTTAGATGCATAGATTATCAAAACTTTTGAAATGTACAATTTCTTAAATGTAATTATAAACTATGAAATATATTTTTGGTGTCATGTATTATAAACATATTATATGTAAATTTTCTGAATACGTATGATATCAAATTAACAAATCACATTATAGAATGTGAATAAAAATGTGAAGAAATCAATGCTCTTATTGTTCTTCTGTAACCCACTGTTGGACCAAACCATTTAATATAGTAAACAGTTGTATGTAGTTTGTTGTTTTTTGACTGGTGGGACATCTGACTAATCGGAGGACACGAACTCACTCCATATAGTGGCAGTCCAATGGTAAGTGTGACCAATCATCGTACCCAACGCGTCAAACGTTGACGGACCCTTTCTTCCTCTACACGAGTAGACATAATTGTATTTGAGGTAAATCTATTGCCGAAATGAAACAATACAGCGGTAAATATGCGTCAAATCATCAACGATTCATATAATTCCCATTTTATTTATTGTGGTAGAAAAGTTCTCAAAATTGCGGATGCCGTAGACGATTACCAGTTTGCTGAAACCCACCGGCACTGGGAAGATTCCCCCGAAACATCAAGTCTTTGTTTGTTTCCTGACGCCGCACAGATGTACTTCTGCTATATGACGGCTGTCTCTAAACCAAAAGTAGAGAATTGTGTGACACGATAGCACATTTACTAATGACTACAGAAATACTAAAATCTCGCTTCTACATAATCTATGTTTTGTTGTACTGTTTCTTGAATTTCCTCACTGCTGATAGGAGTATCAGAAATATCTTGAGTGGCATATTTTATTCAATCATTTATACAATGTTCATTCATACATGTATTTTCATCAATAAATACATTTTGATCGTCTTCAACAGACATACAATCACTTTTTTTGGAAGGCTCTTGTCTTCTTATATTCAGTCTAACTAGCTTCTGGAAATCACATCACAGAATATTCCACATGTTTCTATAACGCTCTATCTCAATCCACGGTATTCCGGAAATTTACACATCACTCTTGCATCTAAAAATAGTAACTTTCTCACCACTTCTTACATTAAATAGTACTACAGCCTGACAACTAATCGTTGTCCAAATACAATGAGCTTCTTCCGAATCTCAACAGAAACAAAGTAATACAATCACAATCATTGTTTAACAATAAAATACACTGCCATATAACAACACAGTCAGCTGATCTTACCTGTGAACGTGCCAATTCCTTTCTTGATATCATCTAAGACTACTTGTACCGTGTCTTTAGATTTATCTGTAAGTATATAGACTTTCAAAGAATATGACTCTTTTCTCATTCGATGAGTACTTTGTAGTCAGTTTGTAATCTGAATTTAAGTCTGCTTTTGAGTATGTTAACTCACATTCGTAGACAGATTTAATTATATCTGGAGGTGTTCTGATTCAGTTCTAGAGATAATGTTAAACATCATCAAAAACCCAAGATGATGCAATATTAGTCAATCACACTACTATTTTCATATTTCCGACCACATTTCATACATACTATTCAAAGTGTGCTAGGGATCACGGCTTTAAAAGGTAATACGTCAAATTGTGTGCATCCGTTGAAATAGCTAAAGACATAATTGCGCAAATACATGTTAATTGAACAAAAGTCCGTTGTCATATGCAATAAATTGCCAACACACATGTCACCAATATTCGGTCAGATCACCCGTCAAAATGAAAGTATCTGACCAAAACTGAAACGTCAAAAACGCTCGAAAAAAAATCATTGTCAAGAAAACTCAGTAGCGCTTATTGGATCCACGTGATGCGATCATAGCCTGAGCCGTCGTCTCATGATCCGAATAAGTGCCTGGGTGGTTTCCCAGGGAAGATTGTTCCACTTTTTAGCAAGAGCATTGCCGAATGTAGAGTTGCGGGAAGGCCGGGCAGTCATGAGAAGGTGACCTGCAGGTCGTTTGACACGTGTTCGATACGATTGAGGTCTCATGACCGGGCTGGCCAATTCATGTGGACAATGATCTCCTGTTTTAAGTAGACATCAATGACTCTGGCACGATGATTATCGTCTATGAGGATGACGTCCGGTCCGATTGCACCAGCCTATGGTCTCGCGTACACACCCAGACGGTCATCCCTGTAGCGCATACCTGTCATCGAGCCCCGCTGTAGGACATTGAGAAAGGTTCTTCCAGATCTACTGACCCAGCACGGGCACGGCAATCTGTCTAGACAGTATCTCGATTTTTAAGTGAAAAATACTGGAGCCCAGTCCTGGTCTGTGAAATTGACTGTCGGGTCAGTGGGATGACAATGCATGTCTCACGGAGATGATTAAGCACTACCTGAATAGAAACGTTGACGCCACTAGCGTTTCATATGTCATTTCTGAGTGTGGTGGCCGTCACGAAATGAGGACGTCTCACTGCAATCAGGAGAAACCTGTCTTCCCGCTGTGTGGTGGAACGTTGTCGACCACCATGGGTAGCTGATCCAAACGTCTGGTACCGTACGTTGAGGGGGCATAAGTGCATTCACCTTGTGCACATCGTTCCCATGACTGCATGCATCTGACCATTTACCATGAAACTGGGGCCCTATAGGGGTTACCCACTCATGTATATCATCAAAACTTCATCCTTGGCAAACTGTGAGTAGTAAAGTTAACAATACAGTCTGTAATGAACAAAATATTTCCACCAGAGGCCCTTCCAAACTTGGACAATTTGATACATGGTAATTAAAAGAGTACCTGGTAAATGAAAAAAGTGAATGTGTCCAGTTGTGCCCGAATAATCAAATGTTATCGTGTTCATGTGGCCATTTTCTCTGAATAAATGATACATGTACATCTAAAGTACGTATAAAGTTTAAGTAATTAACATCATCCTTGAAATTCACATTGTTGTCCTAAAATATTCCAACATCGCTTCGTTTTCAACTGTTTTATCAGGTCGGGTGCGTGTGGTCGAAAGTTAATCAAATTCGTCAATACAATACACAAACTGGAGGGGTTGCGGGTGACCCTATCGTGTAATGCCAATTCCAGATTTGTCCTAATAGAGAATGCTTTTTTAAATCTCCCTTTCTGTACAATCGTGTTGAACACCATCTGTACTGAGCGGACTGCCATTTAGGGTAGACCCGTGAAGATCGGGGTTGGAATTGGTCTTCAGCAACCTATGCTTGTCTTAAGAGGAGACTAACGGGATCGGATGGTGAGGCTCGCTAACTTGGTTGATACATGTCATTGTATCCCAAATGCTTAGATCGATGCTCCTGATGCTCACTAAATAGTGTGGTCCAGACTGGATTATTTTACAAACCGTCATCATACAGCTTGAATATTGTTGAGTGCTGCGTTAAACAACGAACACATATTTCGGGTAGGGTGGTAGTCAGTGACAACTAGCTCACCATTCTTGAAGTAACCATTTTTTCTGTCTTCAGTTTTCGCTCTTGATTTGTGAGGGAAACAAAACAAATGTTCCCAGAAAGCGGGACCCGTGAAGATCCGGGCTAGAATAGGTCTTCAGCAACCCATGCTTGCCGTAAAAGGTGACTATGCTTGTCGTAAAAGGCGACTAACGGGGTCGGGTGGTCAGGCTCGCTGACTTGGTTGATGCATGTCATCGATCCCAATTGCGTGGATCGATGCTCATGATAATAATCACTGGATATGAGGTCATTTACTCGAAACCGGTGTAGTAGGCTCAAACGTCCACCCCCCTCCCCCTAAATTTGACACTAGAGTCATATTGGCTAAGTCAAGTTTCCGAAGTTGTGAAAAGTGATATTTTGAACATAACACTTGATATTTCGCTGCAGTGAACATAACACTTTGACCGAGCTAGTGTCATACAAGAGCTACCTCCCTGCAAATTGTATCTCTTTATCGTAAGTGTCTGGCCCGTACACAAACTGTTGACTTTCTTGTTACGTTAGTGAGTGAGTGATTTTGGTTTTACGCCGTTTTTAGCAATATTCCAGCAACGCCACGGCGGAAAACACCAGAAATGGTTTTTCACACATTTCACCAATGTCGGGAATCGAACCCGGGTCTTTAACCACTTTGACCGCTTTAACCACTAGGCTACCCAACCGCAACTTTGACAAGATGTGTAGTTGCAGGCCGCTTCGTCTCGTCAAAGAAGTGAGAAAATTGTGTGTGTGTGTGTAGGGGGGGGGGGGGGGGGGTTTGAGTCCCGTCCGGGATCCGAATATTCGAGATATTTACAGTTCTGTGAAAGCTTGTGTCAGATGGAACAACGAGTACATACTTTGATTATCTCTTAGTTCTTAAACAAGGATGCATTCTTTGTCCACTAGCATTCTCCTTCCTCATAAATAAATTATCATTGTATATATCAAAGCATGTAAAATACGGTATACAGTCGTTTTGTGATATTCAATATTTAATTATTGATGTTTGCAGAATGATAAATGAATCACTGATATCATTCTTGTATCCTACACAGTTCCAGGGCCCACTTGCACAAAGCGATCTTAGCGCTACGACTATTGTAAGCCTACAAATGTATGTTAAAGTATGGGAGTTACGATCATCTTAGCGCTAAGATCGCTTTGTGCAAGTGGGCCCTGGTCTTCAGAACCATTTAAAAATGATGGCGTCATACAGACGCCTGGCAAGACATATACCAGTAGTGTAGTGGTGTGAAGGGGGATATTTAGGAATACTTTCAAAAAGAGAATTGTATTAATGATATGTCATTTAGACATAAAAGACCCCTGATGTAAGTTCAAGTAATTTTAAATTTTGGCATTATCTTTTTACATAATATTTGACATGCAAATACCACATATTCTGTGGTGGTGGAAAATAGGGCATGCATATTTGGTAAACTAGATATTGTACATCTAATTGGAAGAGATGTTTGAAAGTAGGCCCCCCGATTCCAATATCTATTGTCTATGGAGAAGGCGGTTGATACCTTTTTTATATTAATTTTATATGTGTAAGACATTGACATAATTGACTGTATCCACTTAAATGTTTATTAAACCGTGGATACAAATATTACGCACCAAGCATACACCATATGCTATTTTCGCAAGTCATTGGTTGTGTACTATTTGGTTCAAAATCAAAAGCCCTAAGTGATGCAGATTTCCGACGTTTACCACTTCGGTGAAACCCACGAGCACGGGTATGGTGCTGACAAACGTAGAAACATCATCGGGGCGAGCCGGGATTCGAACCCACAATCATAGGTTTCTGGCGTGTCCAAGGGACGCAACTCTGCACAGCGAATAGCGGCGCCTTAGACATACATACATACATACATACATACATACATACATACATACATACATACATACATACATACATACATACATACATACATACATACATACATACATACATACATACATACATATTCTGATAAACACCCTGGACCCATAACTTCGTTTTGAGCCCGATTCGACGCAATAGCAGTCGAATCAAAACACTTATAAAGGAGAGAAATTCTGGGCTCAGTGAGAGATAGAGATGGTGACGTCACTGCCAAACAATCCTAAGGTGGCAAATGGATCCAGAGTATTTATTAAAGCAGATTGAGATATTATTCCTTGGATAACTGAGGATGCAACGTGACAGTGAATGTATACACCTTTCGTCCATGACACGAACTTCATCTGATACCCGAACCCTGACATTACCGCACCGTCACCATCATTTGTAAACTGTACAAGGCCTATACATATTTTATGTCTGTTTCAGTTACTTCCGGTCAAGTCTTTTGTTCGTATGAAGGCCACTGGCCCATATACAGGTGAGTGAGTGAGTATGGTTTTACGCCGCTTTAGCAATATTGCAGAAATATCACGGCGGGGGACACCGGAAATGGGCGTCACACATTGTACCCATGTCGGGAATCGAAACCGGGTCTTCGGCGTGACGATCGAACCATACACAGGTAAAGTGCGCACATACATATTGCAACGGTACACGAATTCATAAGTAACTTGGTATCATAGTATTTATTCTAGTGTTTGCAAAACTTTGTCTCACTTCATAACTTTGACATAAATGTTTACAAAAGTATCTTTCTAACTATAAAAATATAATGTGTCTTGTAATATGATAGTCATATCGATGTTACACCTTTACACGCTTAACACCTACGACACATTTGAGACCAGTTTCGTCATTTTAAATGTACATACAAGAATCCACAGAAGCACTTTCCATCCAGACAATGGTGACTGTGGAAGTTAGCTAGACAGCTGCAGTCGTTCGAGGCGCATTCCGCAGCCATCTTGCAGTCAACGGTATATAATTACAGAAAACATTCGTTAGTGATCAATTCACATCAAATCCGGCGAACAAGAAATATTAAAATGTGCTGATTGGCAAGTACTGGATACTTTCCTCATCCTATTGATCTCCATCGGGTAAATTATCATTGAAATTCGGCTAGAAGAAAAACTACTGTTAAACTTTTAAAAGTCCAGTTCCCACCATTGCCAAACTAGGCAGGAATTCCTGGGCTCGATCGTAGCGCCTACAGTGGCTATCACGAGTTATGTCCCTTCTATGCCTCTACCTATGGACCAATCAGATTCCACCTCGGGTATCACTTGCATTTGCTTCAAACAAAATGACGGCGCCCAGTCAAGACGATCTGATTGATAATCAAGCCTATATTGTGATAAAACGGGGCTTACATCACGAAGTGCATCAAAGCCCGTGAGCACCTATATTAAAAACATGAAAAGATTAGGACAATATCTTTTGACAACGAGTTGGCGGTTGGTTGGTTGGTTGGTTTGTTGTTTGACGCCGCACTCAGCAATATTCCAACTATGTGACGGCGGTCTGTAAATAATCGAGTCTGGACCAGACAATCCCGTGATTAACATCATGAGCATCGATCCACGCAATTGGGATCGATGACATGCATCAACCAAGTCAGCGAGCCTGACCACCCGATCCCGTATGTCGCCTTTTACGACAAGCATAGTCGCCTTTTACGGCAAGCATTGGTTGCTGAAGACCTATTCTACCCCGGATCTTCACGGGTCGAGTTGGCGGTGCACATGCTTTGCAAATTCTGCAATCGACGGAAATCTGCATGACAGTTCACAAACCGGATTTCGATTTCGTTGCGCGATTTTGATTGGACTATGCAGAGACTCGTTAGTCCAGCCAAACTGTAACTCCATAATACCAGCCTAGTTCGGCAAGGGTGGAAACTGGACTTTTGTAGTCAGTTAACTCTCTTGCCTCGTGAAGATGGAGCCAACCAGACACCGTGGTGAATATCTATGACATGTGTCCTTGTGTGTTTTGCTCCAATATTAAGTAAACCCAATCTGTTTAATATTGAAGCAGCGTTGATATTGGACCAAAACCACAAAGACACAAGGACTGTGTGACAAGGGGGATGACTTCAACTTTCCAACTGTCAACTTTCCCTTCATGTGGAACAATATTCCGGCAGCTCTATCCTTTGGTGTTTACATTTCCCACCTTTTGAGATACAATCGAGCATGATCTTTCAATCAAGATTTCAGCGAACGTCATACGACTCTTGCTATGAAGTTGAACGATCAAGGTTACAACATTCAAGGCTTCAGTTAAGCTTTGAAAAAGCTCTACGAGTGTCAGAAATGAGAAATACATATCCATATTTGACGCATCAGCGACAAAGATGATGTCCGATGCAAATCCCTATTTTGACTTCTACCATATATACCAGGTGAACAACTGACTTCCCTTTGCATGTGTTTGTGAAGGGTGCCACCGGTGGGGCAGGATACACTCACCTTTTCGCGAACACCTGATAATGATTCATAAACCCATGCTCATGATATAGTCGGAATCGTGCAATCGACTGTTTTATGCAGAGATTTCTATTGGATATGAAAAGGCTTCTATCGCTTTATTTATTGTTATTTGGTTCACTAAGGTAACACAAACTGTTAAAAGCAGCGCAGCCTTCGTGTGGATGGAATATTTCTGAGTTAAACAACAAGCAAACAAATTAAAGCAGCGTTAAACACAACTCACTCACTTACCCTGGATACATGATGCATGCGTGTTGGTGCACTCTTCGTTGGTGCAGCGCAGAGTTGTGTAAGTGTCATGATTCGCTCCACACCAAGGCTTAAAGTAAAATAAAAACATTCAATTAATTGTTGATATCGATAATGCAAGTTATTTAGCCTATCATATTATATGGCCGCTTCAAGTGGTAACTGATTTCCAACTGAGACATAATAGCAGATAAGAGTCGAGACGATAACACATATATACAGGAATGGGTGTATCCTCTGACTCGGCAATGGGGATTATGGATTCAAATTGCCCTCCAGCAAACTACTAGTGTCTAAATGGGGGACTCATGGATCGAGGAATCAGGTTCAGTGTTTGGGTTGATTTCGTGTCATCATTACCCGGTGTGGGCAGGGCGCAACTAATCGATAATACTATTTTTATGTGTTTTTCATGTTTACTCGTAGCTATGTGATTTTATTTTTTTATGTTTCAACGCGAGCCGTCCTATCGTAATAATGAAAATAATTGTGAAAGTGCCGTTTTTTACGTCACAAAGTAAGTACAGTAAACTACGATTATAACGAACTCAACGGGACTACTTATTTTAGTTCGTTATAACCGTAGTTCGTTATAAGCATATATACAGCATAACTACAACAAATAGTCGGGACAAAAAAGTAAGTTCGTTATATCCGTCAGTTCGTTATAAGCGTGTTCGTTATCAACGTAGTTTACCGTATATTTTGTGAAACACTTACTTTCAAGGACTCTCTGTTCGCCTAAGGGAAATACTAGCAAGTATAGTTATGTGAAATTTTCATATAACTATACTTACTAGTATTTCTTCATATTATTTCCTAAAGGTTTCGTTACTTCATTACTGATACCTCAATGCAAGATTCCGATTTTCAAGTTAGACAATAAATATCATGTTCGATCGTGTAGAGTTTGAATTAAAAATTTACTGCATAGATGGTAAATCGAGGTTTACTTATCTTTGATAAAATGTGCTATTTAGGTGTACTCAACCGCTTTTCTGCTACTATGGTAGTTTCGCCAAGGGTGGGACATTGCTCAAAACATGACAAGCTTCTCTACAGGCCGCCGTCATATACATTGAGGATGGAATATTGCTGAGGTCGTGAAACAACAAAATACTGTTCCCTGACAGCGTTGCTGATGCAGATGACTGTCATACTCACCGACAGCAACTGCCGATACAGCGAGGAATAATATGTACTTCATGTTTTACGGAAACGATTTTGATCTGAACATTGTGACCAGGGACACGCCTTTTATACTGCACAATGCCTGCACCCATAAATTATCTTAAGCGCGTTGTCCAAAACAGATGACACTTTCCGAATTCCACAAAGTATTTTTTTTTTACACTTTCCCCTTATGTAGGCCGAGATTGTTTCTATGTTGCCAACCTCATCTTAACCCTTACGACTGTATATGCATTTTTTTTATTTGGGATGCATGACTGGTAGTATCGTAATCTTTCTCAAGATCAAAGAAAATTGATGCTTCGCGTTGTTTATTTACTATATCATTTTAATAAAGGATTCTTATCATTAAAAATATTATCAATATTACCTCTCTTTTTTCCCAGAAAACACATTGAATATTTGTAATAAGATTTTTGGTTTCCAAATACCAAACTAATCTATTGTTTGGGATTCGTTCCATAGTTTTGCAAACGCAACTGGTTACAGATATATGGTGGTAATTTGTGAGGCATCTGTATGATCTTGGTGTGGGGACTAAAATGGTATTTTGCCACGAGGAAGTAAATTCCCTGACGTCCATATGTGGTCAAATATACATATAAAACTGTCTCAAGACATGATTCAAGACAAATGCTTCAGTAACTGATGGTGGATATTATCATCACCCGCTGCAGTAAGAGCAGTATTGACGCTCATGTAATGGAAATACTTATAATACATTATAATCTTCACCGTTATTAATTTCTCTCTTTTCTTTTCGCGTTGTTTCTGATATCTCTTAAACTGAAGGACATATTTTGATGATGAAGAACGTTTGGCTGGAGTTTCGCTCAAGATTATTTGCAAGGTCAGATTTATCAGTTATCAATTTCTCAAAGTCTTAAAGGTGGGATACGAACGATTTGTAACCTTTGCCTTTCATTTATATAACCTTGGACAAATCTTTTCCCGCTTTCTCCCTACACTTTCTTGCTTGTTTGCAGTCGTTATTAAACCATGGTTTACGAATATTTTCAGAGGACTTAGGAATTATTTGGTCAGCAATATTATTTAGTTGACCAACTACTAGATGGAAACTGGTAAACTTCTGAAATTGTCAGGTTTTAGCTTTTCAGCACATAATATACTCAACAACAAAAGTTCTGTGACACCAATATTTTAGTGTATATTTCAAACAAGTAAAGTTTGGTTTTCAGTATTGTAGTACATGTATGGAATCAAGTCACAAAAACGCAACTGCTACAGAAAAGCATGCATTCCATGGAAAAGTCGGCTTTTATGCAAGCCCCGTGCATTTCACTACCCAAGAGTGGGTATAACGGGAATCCATATACATTATTTAGCATCGTACTGACAACAATGATTCAGAAAAACAACAAAATTACGCAGTTATTCAACATTTCGAAATGCCACGCCTGTCCGAAAATGAGCGTCTTCGAGCCATTGGTATGCTTGAAGCAGGGTGGGGTCAATGTGATGCTGCAAGACTATTTAACGTCCACAGAAACGCCATTTGGTGTTTATGGCAACGTTGGAAACAGACGAATGCAGTCAGAGACCATCATCGAAGTGGCAGGCCACGCATAACCAATAATCGACAAGACAACTGAATTCGAACAACACACCTACGAAATCGATTCCAGCCAGCAACAGTGACTGCAAGAAGCATCCCTGGCCTTCAACGAATATCTTCACAAACCGTACGTCGTCGCCTCAGATGTGCAGGGATTGTCGCCAGAAGACCCGCCAGACGTCCCATTTTGACAGGAAACCACAGTCAAGCACGTCTACAGTGGTGCAGACAGCGCCTACGCTGGACGGCCATGCACTGGGGACAGGTTCTATTCACCGACGAGTCTCGTTTTCACCTCAGCCACAGCAATGGACGGATTCGAGTGTACCGACGTCGAGGCGAACGTTACGTCAATCATTGTGTCATGGAAGAAGATCGGTTCAGCGGCGGCAGCGTTATGGTATGGGGTGGGATTACAGCAAGTCAGAGGACCCGTTGTTCTACCGTTTTTGCGTCAACCACGTGTTCCACAGACACTCCAGGAACTTCGAAACATGCTCCAGCAGATATGGACAGATATCCCACAGGACTTTGTGCGACGCCTGGTCCATTCCATGAGACGAAGATGTGTTGCTTGCATCGCAACCAGAGGTGAACACACACGCTATTGATTTGTGAATTGACATTTTGGCATGTTTGTTTTATGAAATCACGTATTTTCTGAAGTCGGTATGGCAAATTAAACCATTTGAACACTTACAGGAGTCTTTTATCTGTTCCACACCGAAATTGTTTCAGATTTGGTAAAAAAAACATAACTTTGCATGAAATCTTATTCAATGTCACAGGAACTTTTGTTGTTCAGTATACATACATAGTATGACCTTGTTCAAATGGAAGTTAATCTGAAACCTATTTGAACCATACAGTTCAAAACAACGCTAACCTTGCCGGACGTTTTCAATGTGCACTGTTTTCCCTTTCAGCTGTTATCTACAGCGAGACCTGCAGGGATCAGAAAGACTGTAATCACGTAATTTTTGCCTAGAGTCCAATGCCAGAAGGCGGTGGCTCATGGGCCAATCTGGTGTTGTTGACCTCCAAATTCAATATGTATCCATTTTCTTGTCATGGGCAGAACCAGCCTGGCATTTAATTTGGTATACAAATATTGCTATTTGTGTCATATTCACTGGCGTATAACAACCCTGTATCCCTGGTGTTTGCATCCTGGAGATCCGATGCAATTTAACACTGTCCTTGTTGACACTCCATGGTGGGTGGGGAGCAGGGTTGCTGAAAAATTTCCTTTCAATATGGCTCACAATCATCCTGGTTCTAAACGGAGACATTTAGATACAAGTACATCTGATGAAACTGATACACATGTTGTTTCCTGGGCTCGATTCCTTGTCGTCGAGGCTGCGGATCATGAACCAATTAAATTAAACCCCTTCGCTATATCTTAAGCTGCTCATGGCTATTGTGGGGAGGTGAAAAATGTGACACATTTGCGTAGTGGATCTCTTTTGGCGAAAAGTATGCGAAAGCAGCAATCAATCAATTTGATGTCAATCTCTCAGTTTGCTAATGTGAAGGTTACTATTTCTCCACACCGGACTCTGACCTCTTGCCGTGGCATTGTCCGTGACCGGACACGTTCCCTATCGGAAATGTCAGAGGAAGAAATTGTAGCTGAACTAAAATGTCAAGGAGTTCAGGGGGTCAAACGCTTTACCAGAAAGGATGATAAATCCAATATTGTTCCTACGAACACATATTTATTCACTTTTGCCCTTTCGTCTATTCCCAATTCAATTAAAGCTGGTTATGTCAACATCAGAGTGGAGGTGTATGTCCACAATCCACTCCGATGTTATAAATGTCAAAAATTTGGACATAGTTTCAAAACTTGCACGCGCCCCATGGTCTGTCATCGTTGTAGTGACAACCATGAAAGTTCAGATTGTAGCCAAGATCTGAAATGTGCGAACTGTGCTGGCCACCACATGGCCTCTTCTAAATTCTGCCCTGTTTATCAAACAGAAATGAAAATTCTGAAACTAAAGTGCGAAAGAAACATCAGTTTTGCAGACACAAGAAAGTTTGTTACCAATCAGTCAACACCCATTTCAACTTTAAATTATTCTGCTGCTGTAGCTAAATCTGTAACAACCTCTTCCTCTGTTCTGTGTCAGACTGAGTTGACATGGGTCAAGTCTGATCGTCCTGTAATAACTTCGTCTGTCACTCAGCCAGACGTATCTGACCGTCAACCAGCATCATCATCCGCTAACTCTCCAGCTGAGACTCAGACAATTCCTGTAGAACCAGCAATGACGCAACAAAAGCTATCAAAAAAAGAAAGAAAAAGGTTAGACAGAAATGAAAAGTCAAACAAAAATCAAACGCTAGATACCCCCTCTTCTGAGGAGGTATCTCTCCACAATCCCTTTGGTGCTCTTGACATGGACGTGACGCCATCGTCAAACAGTAGCCGTAGGAGTTCTTGTTCCTCACGTTCGCGTGAGAGATCACCCATTGAGCCACCATGAATCAATCATCAAATATATTACAATGGAACTGTAGAGGACTTAGGAATAACTATAATGACTTACAACTCTTAATTCAAGATTTCAAACCATCTGCGATATGTTTACAAGAAACATACTACAAAGATACTGATCAATTTGATATTATACCTCCTACAATGTCCTTTCACCTCCTGGTGCTAAAGCCACTGGAGGTTCCTCAATTCTAATGAAACACGGCGTCATCCATAGCCCCGTTCAACTTACTACTCCCCTTCAGGCTGTTGCAATCCGTGTAAACTTTGATCATTGTTTTTACATTGTGCTCACTATATATTCTACCATCTTCTTCTCTTCGACAGTCTGAACTTCAAGCTCTCTATGATCAACTCCCCAAGCCCTGTATTATTATGGGTGATCTGAATGGGCACAATCCACTTTGGGGTAGTGTTCAGACAAATAATAAGGGGAAACTTTTGGAAGATTTCATTTCCAACAATGACTTATGTATCTATAACGATGGTTCAAACACATATCTACATCCCGGTACAGGTACCTACTCTGCTCTGGATTTAGCAGTTTCGGATTCTGATTTATTAAATGAATTTGAATGGTCCGTCCACGAAAACCTCTGTGGTAGTGATCATTTCCCAACTATTTTAAAACCTGTCTTACCTTCAGATGTTCCTCCCTCAACGAGATGAAACTTCACGAAGGCCAACTGGCCTTTATTTGAAATGCTTGCATCCGATATACTAAAACCTAATCTATTTATTGACGCGACTGATCCTGTACAATTATTTTCGGATGAATTAAACACAATAGCAGATGAATGTATTCCTAAGTCCTCTACAAATCCACATATCCGTAAACCATGGTTCAACAATGACTGCAAACGAGCTCGGAAGGCACGGAAAAAGGCAGAACACTATTTCCGTCGCCATCCCATGGTCCATAATTTGAATAAATATAAAAT